TTTTATACTTTTTAAAGAAGACTGAATTTGATTTTGATTTTTTAAAAATTCTGCTAGATGCACACGTGGGGGTGGTGGCTGGTCTCTTCTCTTCTAAAGGGGGTTGCAAACTGCCAGAAATAGTGCAAACTGAGCCCACTTTTAGGGTTAGGGTTAGTGCTAGGGAATCATGGGAACTGTTTTTTTTCCCTGAGACATTGAGCCTTCTCTGTCAGAGAGCTCTGGTGCCACAATAAAATACAGTTCCCATGATTCCCTAACCCTAACCCTAACCCTAACCCTAAAAGTGGACTCAATTTGCACTATTTCTGGCAGTCTGCACCCCTCCTAAGTTTCTGCATCAGTGCAGTTTAAAACTCTGCTAAAGAGATTCATCAAATCTCTTTTTTTTCAACTGTACCAATTATCTGTTACACAAGGTAGATTACAACATTGATTATAGCCAAACAGAATACCTAAACATTAACTATAATAATTAAGAACAATTGTTAAAAAAAATGACATTGGCTGAAATTGGCTGTCTATTTAAATGGACTCATGTCTGTGGGAAATAGAATTAATCAGTTTTGCAATTCCATATCCATCAATGAACTGTCATGAAATTACTACATTGGGACTGCATTGGGACCAATGGGCATTGGGACTGTTGTGCATTGGGACCATTTCATAGTGGAACTGATGTGCAAAAGCTGCTGTTGGGCATTGGGTGCTCTCAGTGCCTATCTGAACAATGGCTTGGGACTGCCAGTGGGTATCAGAAAAGCCCAATGTACATTGAAATACTAGATATGGAATACTGCTGTGCAATGGTGGAGCCTGATGTGCATTGGACACTCATGTCAGTGTTCTGATTCATATCTTTGCAATTTATTAGAAGGACTCTGTAGTATCTCTGCTACATAGCTAAGTATGTATTAAGTTGCACAACGTAGATTGTGATACAGAATCACAGCCCTATATATTAAAAACAGGACTGAATAAAAAAATACAGTTGTAAAACATTTAAAACATAACAAGTATGTAATTAACACCATAGTATTAATTTCCCATGCATACAAAATTATGCTCAAAATTCTGCACATAGATTCCAATTATCTATGGAGAGAGAAATCCTGGAAGTACAAGTGGGGTTCAGAAAATGAAGAGGCACTAGGGAACACATTACAAATATACGATGGTTAATGGAGAGAACCAAGGAATTCCAGAAGAAAATCAGCATGTGCTTTATTTATTGTTGTTGTTGTTTCTGTGTGCCTTCAAGTTGTTCCCGACTTATGGCGACCGTAAGGCAAACCTATCACAGATATTTCATGAAAAGTTTCTTCAGAAGGGGTTTGCCATTGCCATCTTCTCAGACTGAGAGAGTGTGACTTGCCCAAGGCCACCAGTGGGTTTCCATGGCTGAGCCAGGATTCTAACCCTGGCCTGTTGAGTCATAGTCCATCGTTCAAACTACTACATCATGCTGGCTCTCATGTGCTTTATAGACTATAGCAAAATCTTTATCTGCATAGATCAATGGTAGGCAACCTTTCCCCTTTAAGGGCCGAGGGACTTCAGCTCCCAGAATCCCAGGAGCTATTGGCCAACATGGGACTATTGGCCAACATGGCTGAGGCTTCTGGGAGCTGAAGTCCCTCGGCCCTTAAAGGGGAAAGGTTGCCTACCCCTGGCATAGATCATGAAAAGCTATAAAATGCTCTTAAAAATATGGGGCGTACCACTACATATGATAGTTCTGATGAGAAATCTGTACTTAGGACATGACTACTGTTAGAACAGAATATAGAGAAATAGATTAGTTCCCAATTGGTAAGGGGGTCAAGCAAGGCTGCATTCTATCACCCTATTTATTCAAGTTGTATGCAGAAAATTTCATATGAAGAGCAGGCTTAGACTTGGAAAAAGGAGGAGGAAAGATAGGAGGAAAGAATAGCAACAAACTAAGTTATGCAGATGACACCATACTATAAGTGGAAACATCACAGACTTGAAATAATTAATAAGGAGGGTCAAGGAAGAAAGTGTTAAGGCAAGCTAACTGCTGAACATAAAGGAAACAAAAATAATGACCATGGAGAATCTACATACATTCAACCTAGACAATAAGGAAATCAAAATAGTTACATATTTTCCTGCACCTCGGGCTAAACATTGATCAGAATGGAGACTGCAGTCAAGAAATAAGAAGAAGACCAGGAATGGGAAGGACAGCCATCAAAGAACTAGACAAGATCCTAAAGAGTAAAGATATACAACAGAGCAGTAAAAAAAAAATTCATCCAAGCCATTGTATTCCCCATCATCATGTACGGATGTGAGAGCTGGACAGTGAAGAAAGCCGACAGAGAGAAAATGAATTCATTTGAGATGTAGTACTGAAGAAGAGCACTGACGATACTGTGGACAGCCAAAAAGACAAATGAATGAGTCCTTGAACAGATTAAGCCTGAATTATCCCTGGAAGCCAAGATGATGAAACTGAGGCTGTTGTACTTTGGCGATATCATGAGAAGGCATGACTCACAAGAAAAGATGATAATGCTAGGAGAGGTAGAGGGCAGAAGAAAGAGAGGAAGACTGCACACCAAATGGAGAGACTCAGCTAGGGAGGCCACAGGCCTGAATTGACAAAACAGAAGCAGAGTCGAGGAGGATAGTGGTCTTAAAGGTATCTTATCCACAGGCTTGCCATGGGTTGGGGCTGCCTTGAGGGCAGTTAACAATGCAAAAAGTTCAGCACCTCCAATTAAAAAAAACACCTTCCACCATATCAACCAGTCAATGCCCAAGAATCTGTCTAAATTAATGGCCAAAAAGTCTGAAATTGCCTGACTGGAAGGAAAAGCAGCTGAGTTGTTAAAACACATTAACACCCTCTCCAGAGTATTCTTGTTAAAAAGGGGTGGATGGGAAGTTTTTGCCATCACAGCATTCTTTTTTTTTTCTTTCACGGAGAATCTACATGGAGTAAGTGGCATGGAAAAGGAAGAGTCCAAGATAAGACTGGAGAGGAGAGCAAAGACTTTGGTCCATATTGTATCATGCATCTGAGGAAGTAGATTTAAATCTATGAGAGCTCATGCTGCCAACTTCTTTCTAGTCTCAAATGCTATAAGATCTCTTTTCATACTGATTCTACAGACTATCTTTGAATTCTACCATATTGTACCATATTTATTACAGAAATCTTTGAGAGCTGCTGAAAACAGAGCCACTTGTTCTCAGCCTTGCCACCTACCAAGCCAGCCCTGTACCCTTTCACCCCTTCATTCCTGCCTTAGGTTTTATTTGTTTGCATGCTGCTGAAACAGAAGATAAAGCCATTAGCAGCTGCTAGTCATGATGGCTGTAAGTTACCTCCAGGGGCTGAAATCCTGCACAGGATTGTCCAGCACAGTGTAAGAATTCCACAGGCAATACCCCATCCCTGCTCCCCAAATGGCCATTCCATGACTGGTGATGTGTGTGTGTGTGTGTGTGTGTGTGTGTGCTCACACACACATGTCTATGTCCCATAGCCAGACATAGACTGATACCTGAGATCTGCTAGGATCATCTGGAGGTCTCAGTGATGATGAAATCATTCTGCATCTGGCTAAGAGGATACAGCCAGACACTTCTCCATTCTCCATTCTACCATGTTCTCCTGTTCAGGGGGACTATTAGAAAGCCATGAGTTCTTAGGACTCCCTTGGTTGTTGCAGAAGGTGGAAGAGAATACTACATTGTCCAAAAGGGGGAAAAAAAAAAGGGGGGGATTCTCAGGCATATGGAGGACCTAAGCTTGTGTATGCCACTAATAGGATCCTGGCCAGTATTATGTCCTCTTCCAAATTCTCTTAGACATCTAGTTGACCATTGTCAGAATCCTGGAACGGACAGTATCAGCTGGTTTCTTTCTTCTTTAGCCCTCACACTGGCAGAAGGGTGGATTTAAGGGGGAAAAATGTCTGGGGAGGAAAGAGTAAGGCAGATGTGGGAATGATGCAACCTGTGCGCTACATGTGGCCCCAAGACCAACTTAGAGACCATTTCCCCTGCTACTTTTGGACTTAAAAAGAACAACCATGACTTGACGTTTCCAGGAATTATTGTGTGCTGTTAGCTACACCGAATGTCTTCCAAATTTTGGTGTGTGTATATACCTTCCTTGACATGGCCCTAAGCAGACCTAGACACACTGAGCCACCATACGTCCAAAAGCCTGAGACCATTTATGCAGGGCAAGCAGATAGAGAACAAAAAGGGGGTTTAGGAGTTGCATTTAGGAAAGAAATTCACACTTCCAGAAGACAGCAAGGCTGAGATAATTTACAACTGGAATGTCCTGTCACCAAGATGGAATCCTAGTTTACAGCCCATTCCCACTTTGAAATCACTATCTTGAGTGATCTCTCTTCTATGTAAATTTAGCTCTCTTTGAAATATCTTTGCCTGGAGCTAGTTTTAGCCTATATAAGATCACCAAAATCCTTTGTTCTTTGAGCTAGATAGAATTCATGGTGAATCCATATCACTTTGAAGTCTGCCTAGTATCCGAATGGCTGTTATTCAATTCAGTGCTCCCAAGCAGCTTAGTCTAGCACCTACCCTCCAATTGGACCCTCTGGATTCAAACCAAGCTTGCAGGTTGAACTAATCACTGTTAGTTCAACCTGTGGGTCTATTCCAAAGCTAATTCTTTTATTCCTGAGTCTCTTGTATGAGAGTAAGAGTGAGTGCATGCTTTGATGTGTGGTCCCCTTAATAAACATTCAGTTCATTGAGAGAATTC